GAGCCCGAATGTCGCGGCTCGAAACGCGGCTCGACACCAAAACGACGTCGTTTTGGTGTCGATTTTGTTTTTGTTTTTTTTTTGTTTTTTTTTCCTGGTTTTGCAGAACGAAGAAGAAGAAGAAGAAGGGAGAAGAAGAGAAGGGAGGAGGAGGAGGAGGAGGGAGGGGAGGGGGCCATAAAAACCGGTTTGAGGAGGAGGGGAGGCTGGGCAGACGACGGTGGTGCTGCGACATCGGCGGGGCTGCGACGGAGGAGGAAGCAGAGGCGGCGGCGGGAGCTACGACGACGGCGGGAGCTGCGACGACGGCGGGAGCTGCGACGACGGCGGGAGCTGCGACGACCTCTCCTCTCTCTTTCTCCCTCTCTCCTCCTCTTCCCCTCTCTGGCTGCGACGAGCTCGGTGGGGCTGCGAGCTCCGAGGCGACGAGCTCGGAGGCGGCGGTCGGAGGCTGCGACGAGCTCGGTGGGGCTGCGAGCTCCGAGGCGACGAGCTCGGAGGCGGCGGTCGGAGGCTGCGACGAGCTCGGTGGGGCTGCGAGCTCCGAGGCGACGAGCTCGGAGGCGGCGGTCGGAGGCTGCGACGAGCTCGGTGGGGCTGCGAGCTCCGAGGCGACGAGCTCGGAGGCGGCGGTCGGAGGCTGCGACGAGCTCGGTGGGGCTGCGAGCTCCGAGGCGACGAGCTCGGAGGCGGCGGTCGGAGGCTGCGACGAGCTCGGTGGGGCTGCGAGCTCCGAGGCGACGAGCTCGGAGGCGGCGGTCGGAGGCTGCGACGAGCTCGGTGGGGCTGCGAGCTCCGAGGCGACGAGCTCGGAGGCGGCGGTCGGAGGCTGCGACGAGCTCGGTGGGGCTGCGAGCTCCGAGGCGACGAGCTCGGAGGCGGCGGTCGGAGGCTGCGACGAGCTCGGTGGGGCTGCGAGCTCCGAGGCGACGAGCTCGGAGGCGGCGGTCGGAGGCTGCGACGAGCTCGGTGGGGCTGCGAGCTCCGAGGCGACGAGCTCGGAGGCGGCGGTCGGAGGCTGCGACGAGCTCGGTGGGGCTGCGAGCTCCGAGGCGACGAGCTCGGAGGCGGCGGTCGGAGGCTGCGACGAGCTCGGTGGGGCTGCGAGCTCCGAGGCGACGAGCTCGGAGGCGGCGGTCGGAGGCTGCGACGAGCTCGGTGGGGCTGCGAGCTCCGAGGCGACGAGCTCGGAGGCGGCGGTCGGAGGCTGCGACGAGCTCGGTGGGGCTGCGAGCTCCGAGGCGACGAGCTCGGAGGCGGCGGTCGGAGGCTGCGACGAGCTCGACTGGGTCGACGACCGGCGACCTCTCTTCTCTCTCTCTCTCTCTTTCTCTCTTTCTCTCTTCTCATTCTCTCCCTCTCCCCCTCTGGTTCAGACTGAAAATGGAAGAAGAAGAAGAAAAAATAATAATAATAATAATAATGCCCAAAACAACGTCGTTTTGGGCATTAGAGGCGCGAGAATTCGGGGAAAAAAACATTTCTCTAGTTTTTTTGGATCACATTATATCTTTATTTTTTAAAACAAGAAAGTCAAAAAATTAATTTTTTATCAACTTTTCAAAACACCACGATGTTAAATAAATTTTCAATGCTTAGTGGATATTTTGAATTAGCATTTGAGTTTTTTTTTTTGTTTACTTTTTTTTTAATAATGTTTTTAATGAATTTTTTGTTTAAGATTTTAAAAAAGGGAAAATTAGTCTAAAATCCCTCTCCTATTTTTAGTAATGGAAGAGATCCACAATATTATTTTTTGATGTATAAGGTCCCTACAGAGAAATTTGATATACATCACACCTTCAAACCATCACCCTCTCTCTCTCTCTCTCTCTCTCTCTCTCTCTCTCTCCTCGCGACCCACCCGCCTCATCATTGAGGACACCGACCAAGTCCTCGAAAAGGCCTTAACCCTTGTCCACAAGTGCTGCGCCCACGGCCTCGTCATGCGAGTCTTCACCATTATCCCCGCTGCCGCCTTCCGCAAGATGGCTGCCCAGCTCGAGAACTCTATCAGCGACGTCTCCTACCTCCTCCAGATAAGAGAATTTCTCTCTGGCCTGCTCTTACCAGATTTTTTCTTTGAAAGCCCCTATCGATTCCTGTGAACCAAATCCCAGTTGGGTGGTGGGAGAGAAGGCCCATCCCCGTCATGAATTGAGTTTGTATGTGCGTGAGAATTGTGGTGCGAAAACTCTTGATTCTTATGCTGCGAGGGTGGGGAAAAATCTGATATAAATTTTTTAGGCAGTCCCAAAATCGTCCCATTTAAGAACTGGACCATTCGGAATTCCACTTGCCTCAGTGATTCTCCCGATGGTGCAGAGAAATCAGTCTGGAACCGGTGCATCAAGCTCATTATTTTAGGTGTGTATATTTCTGACCGGTGGCAGCCCTCCCAGTGTCCTTGACTCATTTCCAGAAGTGCATTTGAGGACTGTATTTGTTCCTCTGCTAAGTTCATCTCCTGTATAGTTTAACATGTAACGTTTTGATCAGGCCTCTGCTTTGAACTGAAATTTTTCTAAGTTGGTCCAAAGAAATTCTCTGGTTTGAACTGAAATTTCTCTGGATTGGTCCCTGGTATTAAGATTTTTCAGCATAGAGTTTGTCATTTATCTTATTTCCATCGTCAACCTCTATGTCATGTTGCATCTCCAAACCACCCCCTGATGTTGAATTGCAAGCTTTGCCCTTCATGATCATTTCCTTCCCATAATTGTTATCAATCTATTCTCAACATTTTCAACTCAAAGAATTTCTCTGGACCAGAATTTCTCTGGACAGAATTTCTCTAGATTAAATTGAGGGATCTTAGACATTATGAAAATATTAGATGTCATTTATACTATAAAGTCATAATACCAGGAACCCTAAAAAAAAAAACCCCTTTAAAAAATATAGAATTTTGGTTTTACTCAATTAGATAATTCAGAAAAGTAACGATTAAAAATTAAAAATAAAATAAAATTTCACTAAAGACAATATATATAACAGTTGGCTTTTGTAGTTCTTTTTTTTAGTGACTTTATATTTTTTAATTTATTTATTTTTACTTTTTAAATTTTTCTACACTAGATGAAAAATTAAAAGATTTTGACATAAATTCTTTTTAAAAAAATATAAGATTATGTTGGAGTATAGATTTGGGTAGAAATTTAGAAAGGAAACAAGAAAATATGTTTGAAATATAAGTGATATATAACTATATTTTATTCACATTTTATCTATTTTTTTCAAAAAAATTCTATCTAAATCCGTAATCTAAGTATAGTGTAAAGATAAACAAAATTTTTTTTAAAAAAGAGTGAATTTTTAACTGGTTACCAAATGACACCTTACTTTATTTTCCTAACTGTGTGTGTACTTAAAAACTCTTACACGCATATGAATTATGAATTTATAAAAAGAAAATGAAAAGGGAAAAAAAATATTATATTGCATTTATATTGCTTTTATGTTTTTTGGATTCCCTTTCCAAATATCTACTTTAAATTCATAATTAAATACAAACTCATGATATGTTTGTATAATTATAATAAATTAGAATAGGATAATTATTCCATCAAAATGTGTATTTCAAAGTTTGATTTACTAAAATCATTATTAAAAAAAAAATGATCATTCCATTATTGACACTAAACATAAAATTTGATTATATTAATATTTCAAAAGTATACTAAAAAAGAAAATAAATCAAATTTGATATAAAAGAAAGTCTATAATTTATCTTGGGGTCTTTTAGAAAGATGATTAAAAATTATTTTTTGACTTTTTTGTGAGACAAGGAAGTGAGTTAAAAGCTGAGAAGTAGCTTTTAATCCACTTCCCAAAATAAGCCCTTATCTTCATTTTTTTATTTTATCATAAGGGAATTAAATTTTAGATAAGTTACCAATAGATGGTAATAATTAGATTTAATTCTCATGAAGTTATATTTAAAACAAGTTATAGTAAAATCGATACAAAAAATAGTTAATATATCTCTAAAAATTAATAATTAATGATTTTTTATTACAATTTTTATAAATTGTTACTAAGGCCAAGCTAGGCATGATTGAAAAAAGACAAAAAGTCAAAAAGTCGCTATCCTATTTAAGTCACATCATCTTATTTAAATCACATCACCTCTCTAACACATCACTTCAAACCCAACCCAAATCCAACCCATATTTCATAAAAAGTCAAAAAGTGCACTTATTTAGTCTTTCCAAACTAGGCCTAAAATTTTCAATTAGTGACATTTTCTTCTGACAAAATTTTTAAACTGTCGCTGAAAATTGAAAATTAATGACTTTTTTATAATGTTTTTTTTAATAAATTGTTGCTAAAATTTATAATTAGTGACAATTTTTAAGACAAAATTTTTAAACTGTTGCTAAAAATTAATAATTAGTGACGTTTTGTAATAGACAATAAATGCACCTATTATGACCTATATGTAAGCCTTTCATAATTTTTTTTTAATAAAACTAAAACAACAAAAAAATGAAAAGTCTAATTATAACTATTTAGATCTCGTTTGTCAAGTGATTTTTTTAGTCAAAAAGTTAAAAATTCACTAAAAAAATCAAAAAATCAAAAAGTCAAATATTCTATTTTCTCTTTATTTTTTGCATATCTTTTCGTAAAAAATTAAAAAGTCATCACAAATATATTAATTTTTTTACATCACATTTTAATTAAAAAATTATTAAAAAAACCTGTTTCCAAACGAGACCCGAAGGTAGCTTTGCTCTGCTGGAAATATTCTAAAACAAAAAATATTAAAAATTCTAAATATTTTGTCAAATATTTTACGTAAATATTAAACCCACATTCTTTAAATCTCATGTCTATATAAGATATTTACTTATATCTGCTGGAGATTCCTGCAACTGCTCTTCTGAAGTCAGCCCACCCCCCACCATTGTCCGAACGAGTAAAGTAAAGGCAGAACAAATACGCGTAGCGGACCAGTCGCGTGGGTCCCACTAGCCGAACTCTGTATTCCCCACTACCATGCGGACACTCACACACTAACAAAACAAAAACAAAATTTGCAAATCTCCCCCTCTCTCTCTCCCTCCCTATCTATTTCTCTCTGAAAAATTCTAGAGAGAGAAACAAAATCCGCTGCTCCGGCCGCTGGGCTCGCTTTTATACACACAGTTTCAATTCTCATATACACACAGATATACATATACATACATATATATATAGAGAGAGAGGGTATCTGACAATGTCATCATCTCCGGGGGCGTCTCCGGCTCCGACATCACCACCAGCCACCAACACTACTTCACCAACACCACCTGCCGCCGCAACGCCTCCGCCGACGACTATCTCGCCACCACCATCTAGTCCACCTCCACCCGCAACATCTCCGCCGCCGGCTTCTTCTTCTCCTCCACCACCAACTCCTGTTGCTCCGGTCCCTGTTTCGCCGCCTCCGCCGTCTACTACTCCACCTCCATCAACCACTCCCACACCTCCTAACTCCTCTCCTCCTCCGCCGCCAACTTCTTCTTCTTCATCTCCTCCTCCGCCGTCAGGTTCCTCGCCGCCCCCTCCGGCCACGAAGTCTCCGCCACCACCTCCGGGGACCTCAAAGTCATCGCCGCCTCCGCCTCCGCCTCCGCCGTCTTCTACAACTCCATCGCCGCCGCCAAGCTCGTCGAGTATATCAACAGGGCTTGTTGTTGGGATTGCGATTGGTGGTGTAGTGATTCTTGTTATTTTGAGCATTTTGTTCATATGTTGCAAGAAGAAGAAGAGAAGAGACCATGATTACTATGTTCCACCACCACACGGGCCTAAAGGTGAGGGACCTTTTTTCCGATCTACTTATTGTTCTTTCTCATCTTGTCATGTGTTCAAATTCCCCTGAATTTCTGTCATTCTTCACATGCATTTATGATATATAAAAAGAAAAAAGAAAAAAAAGAAAGCTTTATTATTCATTCTTAGGGTTTTGAGAAACTCATGGATTTGTTCATTAATTTGTTTTTGGAAGTCTAATTCTGGGAAATTTGACTGGGTATATGTTAGAATTGTATAATAATTGTCAAGCTGTAACTGTTATATAGATCTGGTCACAGTCTGGGGAATTGCTTTACTCTTTCAACTTCTTGAAATAGTATTTTTCTCCTGCTAAAAATTGTTGAATTTAGCATTTTCATGACTTGGGTTGTTTTTCTCAAACATGAAATATTGGATCATCAATTGCATGTATGTGTTCTTACAACCTAATAGAAGCAAACCAAACTAAGCCTTGAATCCCTACATGAAGTCTTTTTGCCATTTCGCCCTTGCAACGCTATTTGTTCAGTTAAATTAAATTAAATAAATTAATATAATTTTTTATTATCTTTCAATGTCTTTTTTAAGTATTCCCTTCCCAAGAATTTATTTTCGTTTAACATTTTGAATATATGGTGGTTGTTATGGTTTGAGGATGTGCAAACCATGAATGAGTAAAAGATGTTGTTGGTCATGCTTATCTGACAGACCAATTCAAGATGAATTACAAAAAGAAAAAGCAACATCATGCTTATCTGTTCAGATTCCCAGTTGACCATTTTTGGAATTATGATTATCAGAATTTATGATTTTGGTGAAGGCTTCAAGAAGCATAATATACATTAATATTTTACCTATTAAATGGACAAGATTGGATAATTTTGTTGCTTCTTTGTTTTTTTTTTTCAAAACCATACTTATCCCAGAATTTGCTCACTCATTCTGGTGTTTGTTTATAATTTCCAGATGACCCGTATAGTCAACCGCCGCAGCATTGGCAACACAATGCTCCCCCACCTGGGGATCATTTGGTCACCATGCCACCAAAACCCTCTCCTCCACCTGCAGTTGCGTCGTGGCCACCTAACTCACCAAAGCATCCTACACCCCCACCTCCACCCCCATTAATGAGCAGTAGTGGTGGTTCTGGGTCCAATTATTCAGGCGGTGAAAACTCATTGCCACCACTTTCCCCTGGCATGTCTCTAGGTTTTGCAAAGAGCACATTCTCATACAATGAATTGGCAATGGCAACAGATGGATTTTCAGACGCCAATCTCCTTGGACAAGGTGGTTTTGGGTATGTGCACAAGGGAGTCCTTCCAAATGGAAAAGAAGTCGCCATTAAGCAGCTGAAAGCTGGAAGTGGTCAGGGGGAGCGTGAATTTCAAGCTGAGGTTGAGATCATTAGCAGAGTGCATCACAAACATCTTGTTTCATTAGTTGGATACTGTATCACTGGGTCCCAAAGAATGCTAGTTTACGAATTTGTTCCAAACAACACCATGGAGTTTCACTTACATGGTGAGTGTTCTTCTCATTACTAAGCAAATTACGGAGGCAACTACTTTATCTTCATGCTTATCTGATTTTCTATCTACTGTTGCTCTTACAATTTTTTTTTTTTTTTAATTAAATTTTTGGTATGGTAAGGGTCTAAGGGGTTAGTTAAATTTTCAAGTCTGTTAGTAATTATTGTTTAGTGGTTCTTACTTCTTGGTTTTATTTTAAACAACAATGCTACGCACTTGGAAAAAGTACCCCGAAAATGAAATGTGTGGACCCAATTTATTTTGTGTGTACATCACACAAAATTAAAATCTACAGCATATACTTCATTTTCAATGTACTTTTCAAGGTAATTTTTTGGGTTACGTTGCTTTTCAGTATTTTAAATTTGTATGTATATTTTCTGAACAATCCTTCTCAATAAACAATAGAATATTAATGAACTCTAGTTGCCAATGTACTTAAGTTATGAGTCCTACATATGCTTTATTGTCTAAGAACCTGTTGAGCTGATGCTGGATGCTTCCGGTAAAATTGATTCTGATATAGAAAGTAAAACATTTCAGGAAAGGGCAGACCTACCATGGATTGGTCCACAAGATTAAGAATTGCTCTAGGGTCTGCCAAAGGACTGGCCTATCTGCACGAGGACTGTAAGTTCTCTTCATGCATATACTTGCTTCGCGTTTTAGAAGCAAGAAGCAACTCTTTAGCATATGACACCGGAGTTAATTTTTTTTTTTTAATTGAATTTTTTTTATTTGCAGGCCATCCTAAGATTATACATCGTGACATTAAGGCAGCTAACATACTTCTGGATTTTAACTTTGAGGCAATGGTAGGATTTCCTTGTAGGCATGGGTCGAGAATCATTAAATTTCAATTTGCATCTTTGAAGTTCGTCATAATAAATCCAAGAAAAACAGAGTTTTTCCCCCTTTCTGGATGTGAAATGTTTGGTGAGATTTTGTCAGTTATGAGGTGCAAGGAGTGGAACAAATATTTTTAATCACAAGTGACAAACAAAAAATTTCAAACCACTGATTGGGTTGTCCAAACTTCATATTAGTGGTGATTGTTGTCATGAAGTCTGTAACCTGACATTTTTTATGCTCTTCTCAGGTTGCGGATTTTGGACTTGCAAAGCTTTCTTCTGATGTCAACACTCACATATCCACCAGGGTGATGGGAACTTTTGGGTAAGGTCTATACCTCTTATGTCCAAGTTTCTAATAATTGATTGTCAATAATTTAATTCTTTTGGGTGATGGGAACTTTTCAGTTGCTTCTGTCAATAATTGATTCTGTTATTTTTATCTCATTCTGGATGCTCTGTTTTCATTTCCAAGTTTCAATTTCTCATTCCATTTTGATAATGGCAAAGATGTTACAATGTTTTCTACACTAGTTCTTATTACAATATCAATCACATTCTAATAATAAGCTCACCACTTCTAGGTACCTGGCTCCGGAATATGCTTCTTCTGGGAAACTTACAGACAAGTCTGATGTTTTCTCATTCGGAGTCATGCTTCTAGAGTTAATTACTGGACGCCGACCTGTGGACTCATCTCAATCTTACACAGATGATAGCTTGGTAGACTGGGTGAGCAATTACATCAAAACCACTAAATCTCTTTCCACTCTGATGAAAGGCTTTTATTTTGTTTTATTTATTTTTTGGTTTTTTTTCGAAGTCTAACAAAATTATCTTTGTTGTAGGCACGGCCCTTGCTCACACGAGCTTTGGAAGATGGAAACTTTGATACCCTTGTTGATCCACGGTTGCAAAGGGATTACAAACCCAACGAGATGGCTCGTATGGTTGCTTGTGCTGCTGCTTGTGTGCGTCATTCAGCACGGCGTCGACCACGAATGAGCCAAGTAAGATTTGAGGTTTATTTGCAATATAGTCAAGCTAAACAATTCCCGTATCTTATGCCAACAAGTTCTGAATCCAGTGTGGCATTTTGATAAAGTCTATTCTTACATTGTGGAATGGTTCTTCAATTATAGATTATACCATTCCATACTACTTACGTCACTTGCAAGTGGAAGTCAGGCCTGCAATTTAATGCATTGTCTTGGTTTAAGACACACAAAGCTATGAATGATCTGATCTACAGATTTCAAATAATTTGATTCTGCTTCCCAAGGTTGGTGTATCTTGCACCATAACACTTGAGCCCCATGTCGTTTTTCCTAAGAAGCACGGAACACTTCTAAGTTGCGTGTCCTTGTCCGATGTTGACGCTCATTTGGCACTTCCTCACATGCGTCGGACACACACGATGACACAGATATATTTGAACAAAATAACTTAAAGGATACAATGACATAAGAAAAACAATATAAATTTATATATATTAGTCCCTGCTCCTTTTAAATTAAGGAATTAATATTATGTTGTATTTTTTATTATTTTGGAATGAATTATTCATATATGTGACATAATAAATATATAAAATCATATATTTTGTGTATGTCCGTCATTTGTCATGTCCTATTTTCTGTAGTTGATGTGTCAGCATGTCCGTAGCCTGCAAGATTCTTGCTTCTTAACTTAGATGTGCTATATGTAAGCTAACTCCTAACCGATATGCATAACTCGAATTGCGTTAGGTGGTGCGGGCCTTAGAAGGAGACGTATCTTTGTCTGATCTTAACGAAGGAATCAAACCCGGACACAGCACAGTCTACAGTTCTCATGGCAGCTCAGACTATGACACTAGCCAATACAATGAGGACTTGAAAAAATTTAGGAAGATGGCTCTGGGAACCCAAGAGTATGGAAGCAGTGAGTACAGTGCACCAACTAGCGAATATGGATTGTATCCATCTGGTTCGAGCAGCGAAGGCCAACAAACCACTCGAGAAATGGAGATGGGAAAGATGAAGAAAGACAGCCGAGGGTTCAGTGGAGGAAGCTCATGACAACTTATGCCCTGTCTGTTTACCTGTAATAACACCCATCCCTTAATTCTCTTATACAGTCACTTGTTTGTTGATTTAATGGCAAAGATGGCATGTCTGGTATGAGCTAACATACACAAATTTATTTATTTTTATTTTTTTTGACCCCCAGAAAGGATGTGGTTTCTTCTTGTATTTAATAGGCTTATACATGAAAATAATTGAGATAATTAATTATTTATTTTTATTTGATGCTTGAAAGCTTTGATTTGATTTGGTTGTTCAGATCTGTTGAGAATTTTGCTTTTTATTTTTAACTTCTTGTGTGTGTTTGACTTGGTTAAGTTCAAACTTGACAGTTGGATTGTTGGAGGTTAGATGACAGGCTACTATAAGCTATTGTTGAAATATAATTTAAAAAGTTTTATTCATTCAAATTTCTTTTCCGTTGTACCAAAAAAAAAAAAAATTCAAATTCAAATGAGTTTTAATCAAGATGGTTATGGAATTTAAATGTTATGGAATTTGAGTAGTTTAATTTTCTTAAGTATATAAACATGTTGAGTCGAGCTTAGAATATTAATAAATTTTAAAATGATTAAATTTTAGTTATTTACATAGCAAGTTGATTTTTTTTTTGAATGAACTTACAGTAGGTTGAGCTAATATTATTTTGTCTAGATTTTCATGAAAAGCTAATAAAAAATTTATTGAAAATGCTATTCTTCTATGGTTTTTATTTATTTATATAATCATTCACAAAAATATGTGGTCCTTTTGCAAATATAAAGGCATCTTGATGAAATTTTGATTTTAAAATAATAATATCACAAGTAAATACAGCATTCTATATAAATTTCTTATAGAAAAATCATTAGATATTTTCAAGATATCAAGTGGTATTATTTAGGTGATATTCTTAATTAATAAAAAATTGCAATGCATACTAATAGGTAATTATTTATCTCTTAACTACTTAATAGAGATGAGTTTACATGTTCCACTCATAAAAATATTCACTACATAATTGATTTGGAATACCATAAAAGTTAATGCCACAGATGAATTATGTGGAAGACAGAACACTAGTGCATTATTCATCACCATCCCAAGCAATGATGGTGGTGCATGGATAAACTTGAAAGAAACTCAAACTCATAGCAAGCCTGACCTTATCTAGATGTAGAACTGTCAAGAACTGCTCCACCTGTTTGAATCTAAAAATGGTTCCCCTTCTTGCTACACATTTTAAATGCCACAGAAAGCTTTCATAGTCCAGCATTTTTTTATTTTTTATTTTTTATTTTTTGTCAAATGTGATGCATCATTGATGAAGAGGTCACCACAATGCTTGGAGTATGAAAAGGTGGCCAGCACATATGACACATACATAATACATTATTTGGTCATTTTATGCACATGGGGCTTTTACTTTCTTTCTTGTTGTCTTTTTGTGTTTGTGGGGTTTAGTAGGTGGTTGATTTGGCTGCAAAGTGGTGGTTGTAGATTCCACCAAATTTATAATATGGTTTGAAGTTAATTGCCAACTGCTCAGGGCATCTTTAGTTGGAAGGTGTTAAAATTGTGTGTGGCAAGGTGTGTTGATTGAAAAAAAAAAGTAATAAAAGCGGAATTTATTTTTATGTGCCTAGTGTTTGGCCCTGTTTGGTAGAGCTGTTGGGAAGTGATTATAACTTATAACCTAACAGTTTATACTTTATAGCTGTGAACATAAGTTGATTTTTGACTTATAAATTAAGATTTTCCTCCTCCACTCAAAGAATAAGTTGATTTTTGACTTACGAAAATGTATAAACTGTATTATTAAGCTGAACTAAACACATCAAAATAACTTAAATTAAGCTAAAAGCTGAAATAAGCTGGAAATAAGCCCTACCAAACAGGACCTTTGTTAATTAGGAGAAGCTTTTCTCTAGTTCAATTGAAGGTGTTGTTGGGTCGTGGCCCACCACAGGTTTACTTTATCGATCTGAATTTAATTTTGTTTAACTATGGACATAGATTGTTCATGAAAAAATTAAATTTATCTGAAAATAATAATCACATATTTTAAAGAGTCGTCTGCAAAAAAATAAACAACAAAGATTATTTTAAGAAATAGACCACCAGTTTTCATTTTTTTTTTTTATAGACAATTTTGATAAAATCGTGAATTATGATTATTTGAACATTTATTTGAATAAAACAATTGCGATTGTCAAAGTGGGGCCTATGGTAGACCTTACAAAGCCCAACAACACCTCCAGTCTGCAAAGTGAACTAAGAGAAATTTATCCCTTATTAATTTAAAGTGTGAGTACATATTACAATGAAAATATTAAAATATGTGTTAAATGAATATATAAATAAAAACAATAAAACAAATTCTTTTCTCTCTCCCTCTCTCTCTCTCTCTCTTTCTTCTTTGTTGATAGAATTACTACAAGTAACTTCCGTTATTGATTTTTTGTTCAATTTTTACCTCCATTGGAGGTGTTAAACTAGTAGAAATTGTCGTCAAATATCAGGAAACATTAAAAAATAATTTATGAATTACACAAAAAAAATAAAAATAATGAGTGTTTTCAAAATTTTATTATATTTTTTTATTATTATTATTTGAAAACTTGAAATGGAAAAATGTCACATATTTTGGAAAAATATCAGTATCTTGAGGTCAATGGATTTGATCATAGGAAAGGTTTAAGGTCAAAGTTGAAGGATTTTAATTAGAAATTTCATTAAGATTTATTTATTCGCAGCAGACTGGTGTTTTAGGTAAAATCTCAAATGAAATATTTTTAAAAAATAAATATTAATGTAATTTATTATTTTTATATTTATTTGTTTTGTTTTTAAATCTTTACATATTTACTCTTGTAGTTAAAATGGTTATTCTACATTTATTATTGGAGGCCTTTGAATAATATGTTTTTTTTATTATTTGGGTCCATTAATGACGAATGTTTTTATTTTGAGAGACCTTTGGACTAGGCTTTTATTGTGATTGCCCTAGAAATAAGGAGGCCTTCTTTTAACTTTTTGTTGGGCTAATGAGTTTTTATTGAACCTTTATTATTAGGCCCAATAGACAACAATGTTTTATTTTGTAAGGCCTTCGGATTTTTTTGGGGGTTAATTACAAAAAAAAAAAACCCTAGAATTTCGCATCTTTTTCATTTTAAATCCCAGATTTTCAATTTCGGCATATTAAACCCCATACTTCCACCCATGTTTCAATTTGACCCCTTCGTCCATCTCTATCATATTACACTAATGGAAATCTGAGCAAAATTTTATATTCAAACACACATGTTCAAATACTTATATCTCCCTCGTCGTAACTCTGTTTTGTCTCATTTTGCGTCGTTGAATTCACCTCACGACCTAGTTTTCATTCCACCCCTCATACGCCTTATTCTACATTTTTTTACATACCGTTGGAGCTTCGAAAATTGGCTAAAAATAAGATTTTTCTCTCTTTGGGTAAAATTTTCAGATTCGAACTCACATGTTCAATAACTTGTATCTCCCTCATCGTAACTCTGTTTCGTCTCATTTTTGCGTCGTTGGATTCACCTCATGGCCTAGTTTTCATTTCATCTCTCATATATGATGTCTCACCTCTTTTTATGTGCCGTCGAAGCTCTAAAAGTTGGTCAAAAATAAAATTTTTCTCTTTTTTCCCCCATGTCTTCTATCTCTATGCTTGTTCATTCCTCCTTCATTTGCACAATTATTCTCTCTTTTCCTCTTCTTTCATGGCAATGGGTAGTATACATTGATCCTACCACATTGGGTATCCCAGAAACTGATATGAAATGTTCTTTAACCCTTTTCACAGACTCCTCATCAGGCCATTGAAGATATTCTGGCATCAACACAGTCCTAATCGCAGAACAAACCTCGAGAATGAGCTTGTGGCAAGTAGATATACCCAAACCAAACCTCTGGGAAACAGGCCTAAAAGGCTCCCCAGTAGCCAACCTCCATATACACACATACACACGTTGTCTAACCGGCACTATATCTCTCAAACTTGTGTTCTCTCTGTCAATCGCCGAGCTTAGCTCATTGCATATCATCTCAAATGTCTCATTCCCCATCTTAAACCCTTTCATGAACTCTTCCTCTGGAAATTCAGCACTTTTGCATTCATCCCACCATGCTTGGGACCTGTTCTTTACCCACAACCTCCTATGAGTGGCAACTCCACCACCACCACCCACTTCCTCATCCTCCTCCTCCGTCCCAACCAAGGCAATCACAATCGCAATGGTCGTAGCAACAGCAGCAGCAACTTTTGATTTTCTCCTTCTCAACCCACGATCATTTTGATCCAAATGATCATAACTACCCTGTAACTTGTAGTAATCCAACATAGCTCGAGTCTTTTTCTTGTGGTTGGCATAGAATAAAAGCTTGTTTTCTTGTTGAGTCTTTGACCAGTCTTTTGAATCAAGCTTTTCTTGCTCGTCAATCAACAACAGTGAGGTTATGTAGACACCCCATTTTTGACCACCCTTAAGATTTGGGCGCCACTAATAGTTTACTTGGTGATGAAAGTTGTGCAGGGCAAAGGTTCGATTTCTTCTGCAAGAGGAGAGTCAAATCCCAACCTTACACCCCACTTTTGGACCAAAGCCTTTTGACCAAAAAGATTTTAAACCTTAAAACCCTCTCTTTCAAAACATTTTTGAAAACAAGATTCTACGATGTTCCAACGCTCGCATTTTGTTAAATGTTGCGCTTTTTGGTAAATCGAGCAAGGACAAAGTGGAAATGAGTGAAGGAGAGGTGAACTCTTTGAAAAATCTTTCAGAACACCTTATTTAGAGGTTTGGAGTTGAAGAAAAGAGGAGAGGAGGGAAGAAACTAGTTTGGGAGAAGTTCGGCATGAATCCGGGTAGGATCAAAATTGAACAGTCTTCACTCAAACAGGCATAACTTTTTGCACAGTTGGAATTTTGATGTGAGGCTTTCCCCATTGGCAAGAATACTTCAAGCGATTCAATTTAGGCTCAAGAATGACCTGCAAAGGAGTCCAGATGAAGGAGTTATGTCCGGTTGAAGTCGGGCCCAAAAAGCAGATTTTTCTGTCCAATCAACGGTGGAAGTTTCTGACCATAAATGGGATTTTTTGGCCATGTGCCGGCCATGAATGGCCAATGCCGGCCCCCTTCCATCCAAGAGTGTCCCATGCCGGCCAAAAATGATCAAGTGCCGGCTATCAGTGAAGAAGTGTCGGCCATTGATGCAAAAAAACAGTTTTTGGCAGATATTTTTGCTCCAGCTGTCTCTCTTCAGATATTTTCAACCAAAGCTTGTATTTTGCTATATATAGAGAGGCTTCTCTATGGTTTGAAGGGTTAGAACAATTTAGCAAAGGTTTGGGAGCCTCTCTCTCTAAATCCTTTCACTCTAGATTCCTCTCTCTCTAAAGCTTTTGTGCTTGGAAGCTTGCATATATCCATCTTCAACCTATCAATCCTTAACAAGAGTGGTTCATCTTTGGGATGAGATTGCTTGAAGCTCTCTTGAAGCCTCCTTGGAGCTCCTTAAGGTGGTTTTGCTTGGTTTTGTTGCTTAAGTATTGTCTTCCCTTCAAGAGGTATAAGACTCACCCTCTAAGCTTGTTTTCATACTTGTTTTTTCCATCCTTTTGTGCTGTTTTTGGGGTGGTTTTCAAATGCAAAAAACTCTATTTTTTATTCCTAAAAATGGTAGTATGAGCCTATTTTGTGTGAGGGGGTTGTCTCTCCCTTTTGCTCCTTAGCTTGTGTAGCTTTTTGTGCCATCTTTCATCACCTTTCAAATCAAAATTTTTGAGACTTTTTACCACTGAAACTCAAGGGAATTTCAGTGGTAAAAACCATGTTTTGAGGTCCAAAATAGGAGGGGGTGATACCCTCTCCTTGTATCTTGCTTGCTTGTGTTGATGGCCTCATACTTGAACATGCTTTTCTACCTTTTTGTGGCTTAGTTCAAGCATGTTTTATGCTCTAATTTAACATGTTCTAACTTTGTTTTTGGCTGGTTTGGCCACTTGTTGCTTGCATCTTGCACTTGTAGTGTAATCATGCTTACTAGCTTATCATGTTTCATGAGTTAGCCTGTCATTCTAGCCTATGTTAGCTCTATCTCAGTATGTTTTGCTCATATTTTAACATGCTTTAGCTCTGTTTTGGGTGGTCTTGGCCATATGAGACTTGTTGTGCATGGTTGTAGTGTAAGTGGCCTTGACCAGCTTTAAGTTTCAAGGTCCCTAGCATGCTTTGTTTGAGTTGTTTGCATGCCATAGCATCATTTCACACATGATTTCAGTGCTTATAGTGTAGTCACACTCTCACATATTCCACTCTTTTTGTGCTTTTGAGAGTTGTGCTTTATGCCTTGTTTGTGAGCCAATACTTGAACATGATTTTCTTGCCTCATGGACTTCCATCTCAGCATGTTTTGGCCTTTATTTTGACATGTTTGAGGTCTGTCCAAAGTTGGTTTGGTCATTTGAGTTTGATATTGCATGCCTCTTGTGTAAAGCTCTTCACTAGTTTTAATGCTTAATCTCCTAACATGTTGTACATAAGTTGTTTGCATGTTAGAGCCTTGTTTTTCATGCCATATCAGCACTGAAATATCTGCCATCTCCCTCATTTCTTCACTTTTGATTTGTTTTGAGGGATGGTTAGTCTTAAAGTTGTGTTTAAGCTTGGGATTGAGGTTTGTGCTTAAATGGCTTTAACACTCTTATGAAGGTTCCTCCTAATCAAAAGCATGGCTTCTCTCATGTCTTAAATCATCTTTTGATTGAACTCTCTCTTATTAGAGGACTTTCATTTGGACTAAACCGGTTAATGAATGACTCGGTAATTTTAAAATGTGTAAACAAGAATTGAGCCAAGTAAAACATGCCAAGATAAGCATGTTATGTGTGCATTGCATTGTGTTCAACCGGACGTTATATTGAACACAAATGAGATTGGTTCATTTCATACTTGAAGTGATGAAATGAGCCAATCTCCTTTGTCTCCATTTCCTTTAGACCAAGTTTGGGAACTTGTAAAAAAGCCAAAAAGTTAAAAAGTTAACACTATTCACCAAAAGTCAACAATTGCGGCTGCACAACTCCCAATTCGAATTTTTCTCTACAAATCAATTTTTTTAATTTTTTATTACACATTTTTTCATAAAAAGTCAAAAAATTAACCCAAACATCCATATTTTCAATCTCAATTTTTAGTCCAAAAAGACAAAAAGTACACTTATTTAAGACACCCCAAACAACCCCTTAATCTCTCATGATGAGGTGATAGACTTGTGTCCTTGTTTTGTGCATTCATTGAATTTGTGCAAGTTGGATCCTTGGCCATCATGCATTGAAATGCTTGATTAGTGGCTTTAGACCCAATGGAACCACTCCCTTGATGTTTTGAGATGATAAGGAGTGGCATAGTACAAGCATGTCCCTGGAAGACCCCTCATTTTTCTCTGTTTTGTGCTCTGTTGCAGTTTGGTGTCACAGCACACTAGTGGTTGACAGTGGCACACTGATGGCCGGCATTGGCTTCATCATTGGCCGACAGCAAGCCTTCATGGCTGGCAGGCCACTGGTGCACTCCTCAGCATTGTTTTGGTAAGGTTCAGAAAAGAGTTTCTGGAGACACCCTGCAAACAGAGCCTTTAAAGAGCAAACCGGAAGGCTTTTCGGGGCAAGAAACCGAGTGCATGCATTCATCTTCTTCAAACAGAGCTGAGGCAGTCTTGCTTAATGATTTACTTGTTAGTTAGCATAAATTTGTAATTTAATTAATTAATTTGTTAATTAGTTAGTGTTGTAATAATTAGTAAGTAGTTTACTAGTTATTCAATTTGGTTGTGTAATAATTAGTCTAATTAGCTTAATTAGATTAGCTAGTTAGCTTAGCTTAGTTTAGCTTAGCTCATTTATTTGGACCCTCCTTCTCGCAAGGGCGCAATGTTGTAATAAGTGTGCGTGCATGTGTGCATGTCTTCCAACCTTACGTTTTTCTCCCTTGTATTTAACCGCTCATGATGGTTAGTTTAGGGCACGTTTTGATTAGCATACCTTATGCTTTGCATGCGTACATCATCCATTTGTCCTGCATGCACCAGGCTCGACGCATCATTCAAACTGCATCGTATTTCAATATACTTTCTTGAATACGTGTTTCAAAGCATGTTATCAAGTTGTTGCATTCATATGCCTTTTTAGATAGCCGAGCCTATTAATTGCATATTGCATGTGTTGCATTAGGCATTTTGTATAGTTAAGATCATACATGATTTCTAACTGGCTTTTGTTTTGGCTTGGAGAACACTGTGAGTGTTATACTTTAACATACTTGCATGAGTGTGAGTGTTGCCATGATAGCATACTTGCCATGAGACTATTTGCTAAATTGATTAACTGCATGAATGCCTGTGGGTGAAGGCTTGATTGCTTGAATTGGGACAACTCGATGATTGTGAGTTTTAAGCCCACTTTGGAAGTGGCACATCATGTTTTCTAAAGCCCACTTGAGGGTAGCAAATCCACGCTTTAGCCTACTTGCGAGTAGCACTTTCAAACCATTTTTCAAAACAAACATGAGTTGTTTTGTTCCAATTCTCGTGATTGAGTCTATACTTGTATGTTGTGCACATCACATAGTAAGTTAGCTAATAACCAGATAAGAACACATGAGGTTTATAAAACAACATATCATGTTAGTAAAGGTCGATCTTTGATCGGGCGAGCGGGGGTGCTCATTTCCGGACCTTCCCCTCTCGTACCCAAATTCCCGAGCCGAGGCAACTTTGGTGATGACGGACACGTGGCCTCTGGCACGAGTCAGGATTTCCTAAATTTCTCAAAACAAAATATTTAGGTGACAACTCTGTAATCTGACAAAGTAGTCCATGTTTGGCACTTTTTCATTCAAAATTGATTTTTCAAAACGATTTGCCAGATTTGGACTCTCTGGTGTTTATCAGTCTCACATTGCACTTTGTGAGATTAGATTCAGAACCGTGACAAGAGTCCAAACTGTAGTAAGACCAATTTGCACCTCTCCGAAAGGGGGGCGCGCAAAGAAAGTCGGGTCTACAGGTGATAATCTCTTTCAAACCTTCCTTGTTTTTGTTACCTTATTGTTTCTTGCACGATTCATCACCACCATTGTTTTTGTTTTTGTTGTTGATGTTGTTGCTGTTTTCTTCTTGTTAAGATAATAATTGTAGAAATGAAGGAGGAAGGAAGAAGCATGGAGATGGAAGACAGATGAAGAAAGGAAAAAAAAAAAAAGAAAAAAAACCTTATTTTTAGCTAAATTTCGGAACTTTGACAACATGCAAAAAGAGGTAAAAACAAGGCATATGAGGGGTGGAATGAAACTAGGCCATGAGATGAATCCAACAACGCGAAAATAAGGCAAAATGGAGTCAAGATGAGGAAGATATAAGTTCTTGAATGTGTCAGTTTGAATATGAAAATTTTGCCCGAAAAGAGAGAAATCTTGTTTTTAGCCAATTTTCAAAGATCTGACGGCATGCAAAAAGGGGTAAAATGAGGCGCATGATGGTTGGAATAAAAATTAGGCCATAAGGTGAATTCAATGACGCTAAAATGAGGGAAAACGGAGCTACGACGAAGGAGATACAAATGCTTGAACATGTGTATTTAAATCTGAAATTCTGCAGAGATTTCCGTTAGTGTAATATAACAGAGATGGACGGAGGGGCCAGATTGAAACACAAGTGAAAGAATGGGGCTTAATTTGTAAAAATTGAAAATTTGGGGTTTAAAATGTAAAAGGCACGAAACCTTTTCTTTTTTTCGTAATTAACCCTTTTTCTTTTCTTTTTTTCTTTTTTGTAGGCCTTTATACAATAAGGATATTTTGTTGTTGAGCCATTTGGTAAGGAGTATATATATATTTTAATAGTAATCAGCTTGCTTGTTTTTGGTTTTCTAAAAATACTTTTTAGAAAATTATACTTTTTTATTTTTCATAATTTTTTATTTTTACTAAATTTTTTAAATATTTTAAGCAATTTTTTTTTTAATTTTTAGGCACACCTACCATAAATACACATACAAAGTATAATTTTTGTGAAAAAAATCTTTTAAAAATTCACTAAATACCAAAAATACAAACAAAAAATATGAGAATTCACTATTTTTCGTATTTTTATGTATTTATTAATTTTTTAAAATATTTTTTCACAATTTTTTTACTTTTTAGATGCATCTAAATAAGGTGCATCTAATTTTTTTTTAAAAAAATGCTTAAATTTTAAAAATATTCACTAAAAATAAAAAAATACGAAAAACAAAAAAACTTAATTTTTAAAAATTTAATCTAAAAAACTCAAACCAAATACACAATAATTTTTGTAGGCACGAGTTTTTCTGGGGAGCTTCTCACAAAGATCAGAGAGGATAAAAATTTGGGACTACAAAAAAACCGAGGGCCTTTGGGCAAATGCCTAAATCGTCTATTGGATAGGCCACACTTGTTTATTATTTTTAAAAAAAAAAAAAAAAAAAAAAACATATAATTGTGATTTATAATTGTAAAAATATCATATTTATATCATTAATGATGAGTTTATTGCACTGAATTGATAACGTAAGTTTATGATTCCTTAAGAAGTTATTTTATTTCAGATTATTTTTGTTGGAACTTTTGTACAAATATAAAAATGAAATGTTCTAAATTTACAATTTATATTTTCAAATTGACCTACAATAATGACATAATAGTTAAGTCTTATACAATAGAATGTGTGACAAATTAAAAATTAACATTTAACATAGCATGTCATTGACCTCCCAAATAATAATATAGACCTTGAATTAACGAATAGGAAAAGAAGTAAAATGTAGTGGTTTGAGGAGGGATTGTCGAGGTAGTTGGCAAAATTGAGAAGATAAGAACATGATTAATAAAATTGTTTGATAAGAAGGATAAATAATTGTTTTGAAAGAATTTTTATTTTTATTTTTATTTTTATTTCATTGTCGCTAGCTGGTCGTCGGGGGTGGCAACTGGTAGTGGTAGTGATATGTATAGATAGAAAAATTAGGTGGACAGATAGATGACATGTAGACAAATAGGGACGACACATAGACAAATAGGTAGACAAATAGATAATGTGAACAAATATGGGAATAGATAAGTAGGAATAATATAGTTTTTCAAATTATTTTGGCCACTAAAGTTTCTAAATTATACAAATTAATAATCATTGAGGCCAAATTTAATAGAAAAAAAAAGTTATTTAAAAATTTGAACAATTTAAATCATACAACAATTTTTTTTTTTTTTATTATTATTTTGAACAAACTGCACCTCACAACCACTTTAATGAGTATTTGTTTGAATAAGTTACGTTGTCCAAATTATAAAATTATCCCTTCGTCTATCAAATTATAAATTAACGATTATTGATTTGTATAATCGCATCCAATTAGACCATTGATGAATTACATTAGATTTATAAAATTTTAGCGAAAATTCATTAAAACTATAACAACGGAGTTCGCGTTATTATAGTTTAAAATTAAAAGATCCTAATGTTATCATTAGAGTAAGACCAATGATCTATACTAGACAAGATATAGATAAATTCGATATTTAACTTCAAGAACTTTTAAACAAAAGTTACTTGAAGAAACTAGAAGCCTTTACTCTAGTCCAGCTTTTATGGTAAGAAACTATGCTGAAATTAAAAGAGAAAAAGCCCAAACGATAGTCAAACGGCTAAATGAAAATTTAGGCTCCGTTTGGTAAGCAATTCAGATTATAGCTTCACCCATTGATTTGAGTATATTGTTTGTTTTGATCTTTCAAATCATGATTTTACACCAATTTTTCAAAACTCAATTCAAAACATAATCATTAATTTTCAAAACTCATAACCAAACACATAATTCAAAACTCTTTTCAAAACTCAATTCAAATCAATATTTTAATTTTTTAAATATTTAAATATGTTATGATTTTTTTAATTTTTTGAATATTTTTAAGTATTTTAATTTCAAAATATTACGATTTTAATTTTTTAAATTTTAAAATATTTTATAAAAATAAATTCAAACTCTATTTTATAAAAATATTTTTAAATATTTAAATTTTTTTGTTATGTATTTGGTTATGATTTGAGTGTAGAGTTGTGAAAGTGGTATGTATTTTTGAATTATGTGTTTGGTTATGAGTTTTAAAAATAATTTCTTAATTAAGTTTTGTTTTATGTGTTTGGTTACGATTTGAGTGTAGAGTTGTTTTTAAATTTAAAATATTAACAATTTAAATTATTTAAATTTTTTGAATATTTAAATTATTTAAATTTTTACGATTTAAATTTTTTGAATATTTATTTTAATTTTTTACTTATTAAATTTTTTAGATTATTTAAATTATTTAAATATTTATGATTTAAATTTTTTGAATATTTATTTTGAAAAAAAATTATTTCCTTTCTAGTATTTTCAATTAAAAAATTGATTAATGTTATTTTCTGTTAATAATAAATTTTTTTAATTGAATTTTAAAAAGAGTTTGGTTATGAGTGTTGATCATAATTTTCAATAGTGTAAAAGTAGTGTATTTTGTTATGAGTTATAACAATTTGAATTAAGTTTTGAAAACTCTTTCCAAAACTCATAACCAAACAAATTTTCTTATTTCACATGTCAAATCAAACTTTCAAAACTCAATTTCACACTCAATTCAAAACTCAATTCAACACTTTATTCAAAAATCATAACCAAACAAATTTTCTATACTCAAATCGTAATTTCACAACTCACAAACTCAAAATACAACTCATACTCTCAAATCATATTTACAAAACTCTATCAAACGCAACCTTAGAATTTGATGGATATTTTATTCCAAGAAAAGATGTTTTGATTAACTTAACTAAATGATCAAAAATAGCAAATTCGATTGTAAGAGTGAATTTTGGCAAATTCAATTGATTGAAGAGTCAAAAAAATTAACCGCTTTCAGTACACCTAGGGGATATTACCACTGGAATGTTATGCCTTTTGATTTAAATATAGCACTACAGGTGTACGGGAAAGATATAAACCTTCTCGTATAATCCTGTTGATCAAGTCTGTACTCCTCTGTACGTCGTCGCTTTATCACCTGAAAACACAAACGTGAGCTAGCCGGGGGGTGTGTGCCGGAAACCTCTCCGATGCTTAAGTCAGTAAGTTTGACAAATAGACAAAAGCTCTGTGTATTCAGAAAGCAAAGTTGTGTGTTACCTCTCCAAAGGTGATGTTTGTGAGCTTTTACAGGTTTCGTGTGGCACAATCCTAGTAGGACTTCTACTTCTCCATGCAGAGTCCTCCTAGGATTCATACTCTTGAAAGATAATGATTATCCTTCAACACCCCCCTCACTGCTTAAACCAAGTGAGATGGTTTTTACAATGGCCGAACTCCAACATGACCAAAGTAAACATGACTATGCATAGCCACAGAATAAGCCGAACTAGCTCTTCCTTTTATTGCTCTTACGTCGGCTTCTCATGCACAATCCATGGTGTGGTTAGACCGAACTAACATGTCATGACCGGTGTAACTCCAAGACCGGTCTAACTCCAAAGTACCGTTAGACCGATCTAACTTCGATCTTCTGTTGGACCGGACTAGCTTCACGGCCTTAGGACCGGACTAACCTCAAAAAATCCACACGACCGGAATAACTTACATGGCCATTTTACTCGGCCCTTTGTACTGCGGTCCATAACGGCCCATTACCCAGCTCGGCCCAATTTTCACATAAATTACCCTCTCAATTGCCCCTTAATTCCATCTGCCTAGCATGTTTTGGGATTATCTGTCAACCAGCTGAGCTATAAACTCTCAGCCTTTCTAACCGAGCTATAGATTTTTAGTCTATCCAGCCGGGCTACTTTAACACCAAGCTCTAGTTGTCCGGTAGTAACGTCTCTTCAATCACAGAGACTGAAACGCTTCCCATTCTAATGGCACGTGGCATGCTCTGATTGACTAAGGACGGCTGTCACGCCGTCTTCGTACTTCGTGAAATTTGAACAGTCCCGCCTTTTTCTCTTTACCTAAAACGAGTCTCTTCATTTTGACATACTTTGTAACTTTTCCCTCTCTGAGCCTCCATTGCTTCTTCAACTTCTGAGCTCGTGTTCTTCATAGCTGTTATTCTTTCTCCAGCTCTTACCTCTTCATCGGGTAAGCACTGTTCATCTACTTTGTTTTCGTATTTTGTTTTCTGTGTTTTTGCAAAACATATTTTTCCATTTCGCTTTGCTCTGTACTTTTCTGGAAAAAAACTTAACAATAGAACACATGAGTACATGTAATATCTTGTAGAAAACTGGTTTTCGATCCAAAATCATGATGCAACCGAACTAGGACACTATTTAAGCTAGGTAAAAGTCTAGTCAGTTTACAACTGGACTAACACTTCATGTTTACACCAGTAGTTTTAATAAGTCAAACCACTTCTTGCGTTACCTCAGCCGAGGTAACCAACTGAACTAAGTTTACACCTAGCATATTGAGATACCTGAATTCCAACCGATCTAGGCCTTGGGGGCTAAACCAGCTTCTTAGTTTTTTAGACCGAACTCAGAAAGCTGCCCCTAGACGATCAACCGGCCTAACAAAATCGTTTCCACAACCGAGATATCGAGACGCTTGCCAAGGTCGAGCTAATAAAAACCCTGCTCAAACCGAGCTACCAATCACCTTGCAGAAACCGAGATAGAGCCTGTAACATCCCACACAGTCGAAGTAGGACTTCTTTTTTATCTTGCTTTTAATTTGTAGCACAGCCCAATGATCTGTGCTTAACACCTTTGTTCTTCACTTTGCAGACTTAGGTTGCCCAGGCACTCCTCTGCGCGCTCAACCGAGCTACTGAGCACAATTTTTGGACTGAACTAATTTATTCATAAATTATACAATAAATGGGGAAGTATAGATTTTTAGTAAATACTCCGGGCGGTCTAGCCGAATTCCGAAAAGATTACAATATACCCGACGACGTCCACCTAATTTTAGCCGAAAAAGATGTCATACCTTGGGGAAATGAAGGCTTTGTCCCCTTCACCCTCTTGTCCATAATTGAAACCGGACTACGATTTCCAGTCCAACCCTTAATTTGTGAGTTTCTTAGGCAAACCAGACTATGCCCAACCCAACTATCCACCAATTCATACCGTATAATAATGGGAATAGCCGAACTAAACCGCCAAGCCGGTCTCAACCTCGGTCTGGCCGAAATCTTTCACCAATACTCCATTGGTTCGAAGGAAGACGGCTGGGTGTACTATCTTAGAATACGCCGTCGTCGTGAGAAAATAATAAAAAACACACTGGATAAAGACTTGAATGACGACGATTTTTTCTAGGTGTCCGGGAACTTTGAGGATCACCAAGCCTAGATTCTTGGCCGAAGCATCAATTGGAAAAAAGGAACACTTGGTATAATTACTTCGGCTTTCTTGCGTGCTTTACTATATTTCGATTTTCAATTTTTCAGCCGAACTAACAGTTGTCTTCTTTCGTAGATTCTGCCCACCTCCATTCTCTATACAGCTACCCAAATCTAGCGACCTTGCGCGCCGCACTACGGTATCCAGAACGTAGTTGGGCCAAGCTGCTAAAGTTCAAACCGACCTATAGATACAACGGTCGCCGAAAAGCGAGAGTGACCGACTTTCTGCTAGAGGAGGCCCCAGAACCGAACCCAACCTTGCCAGAAATCAGACTAATTCCACTGACCGCTGAAGAAGAAATGGCCAAGAGAAACAGAGTCAGGGCCCTCTTGACCGAGACCAACAGACCCGAAGTACCGCCACCAAGCCAAACGCAACCTGCCGTTGTGGCCTTTCCTTCTCAACAGCCTTCTTCATCACGCCCATCCAAGCGCGCCCGATCTACCCCGACCGAACAGCGTCTTGTGGATGAGAACGAATCCATCCCTCTACCAATTCCACAGCCGGAGCCTTCTGACCAGGCTGGCTCTTCCAGGTGGGCACCGAAGCTGAAGTTTCAGAACCACCTTATTCAAGATACCGATTCGGTGGTCACTGAGAAGGATCACTTGATGGCCTTCAATCTTGCCAAAAGTGTGTGCCTTCCAGTAGACATGGAACACCACCAGAATTTAACCGAGCTAAAGGCCATTCGATCGGCCATCAAGTCCATGATCCTGGTATGATGCCACTTGTCTCTAAAAAAATTTTCTAACTTTCAGTTCGGTTTCCTCATTGATTTCTTTCCATTCATTTCAGTCTCTTCAGAAGAGCCAAATTGCCCACCAAAAGGTATTGGAGCTCAGGAAAACGGCTAGGCAAGCCTTGGCAGAGGTTGAAGAAAAAACAACCGAGCTGAAGGAATCCCATCAAAAGACGGCCGAGCTAGAGGCCGAGGTAGCTCGTCTAACCGGACTGGTTACCTCGGCTGAGGCTGACAAACAGAAGGCGTTGATCGTGATGAAAGACAAGTACCTTCGTGAGCTAGTCAAGCTTGAAGGGAAAAAGGACACCGAAATCGCCGAGCTGAAGAAGAAGGTCGGTGATGCCAACGCTGAAGGTTTCAAAGAGGTGGAGGGACTCTACATTCCACAATGTGAGGGGGTGAAGGAATTATTCTTTAAGTGCGGCTGGAGAAGTGCTGTGGAACAGCTCAGCTGCGGGCCCGAAACCGAGGTCTACAATGCTTCGCAATACTTCATTCCAGCCTCACTAGCGGAATATGCTGCTTCTGTCCAACAACAATTTTTGCTTGGTTCAGATGATGAAGATGAAGAAAACGAACCAACTGTTACTCCGGTAGTTAATGAGCAAGGCAACGATCAATTAGCTCGGTTGGAGTCAACGGTTGAAAACCTGACTGTTGAGCCGTCGACTGACATCGTTCTGCCTGTTTCTACTGAGACTGATCTTCCATCTGCAACCGGTGTTCAAGTTGATATTGACGCCGACCTTGAAGACCTTTTCACTTGATTCTGTACTTTCTTTTCTTTGTTACTTTTTGCTCTTGTAACCAGGCTATGGCCCCCCCTTTGTAATTGCTCTTTGATGAATGAAAATTTTCTTGTTTTGAACTCTTATTTCGATTGATCTGTATGTTTGTGCTTGCAATGACTTTTCCATGATCTTTTCACTTCCAACTGTTATCTCGGTTTAATTTCCTGTTTGAGCTTGCCTTCTTAATAGTTTTGTGGCCAAGATACTTTGATCTGGTCTCAGCTGAGTAATCTGACTGAGCTATCCAGCCAACCACTTTTTAGCCGATGTTCTTACTTCGGCTAAAGAGTACTAAGAGTTGGTTTAATCTAGCCAACCACTCTTTAGCCGATGTCCTTACTTCGGCTAAAGAGTAACAAGAGTTGGTTTAATCCAGCCAACCATTCTTTAGACGATGTCCTCACTTCGGCTAAAGAGTACTACGAGTTGGTTTAATCCAGCCAACCACACTTTAGCCGATGTCCTCACTTCGGCTAAAGAGTACCAAGAGTTGGTTTAATCCAGCCAACCACACTTTAGCCGATGTCCTCACTTCGGCTAAAGAGTACCAAGAGTGCCAACCACACTTTAGCCGATGTCCTCACTTCGGCTAAAGAGTACTTAGAGTTGGTTTAATCCAGCCAACCACACTTTAGCCGATGTCCTCACTTCGGCTAAAGAGTACCAGGAGTTGGTTTTATCCAGTCAACCACTCTTTAGCCGATATCCTCACTTCGGCTAAAGAGTACTTAGAGTTGGTTTAATCCAGTCAACCTCTACATTGGTTTTTCCAGCCAATCGTTAGATTGGTTTTTCCAACCAACCTAAAGTAAAATGTTTTGGTTATTCCGACCAAACGTCCTGCAGCCTGGATCCTTATCCTGGGCTTAGGAAGGGTGTTGGTTTAATCCAGCCAACCTTTAGATTGGTTTTTCCAGCCAACATAAAGTAAAATGTTTGCAATGTTCCTATCTTCACTAAAACAAACTTTTACAGAAAACAATTATGCTAAAAAGAATCGACTTGTTTTATTGAGGAGGGAAAAAATTACACATGTTTGAAAGAGGAAAGCTTAAAAATAAAATAACTTGAGATTGGCGGTGTTCCATGGCCTAGGGATTGCTTTGTCGTCCTTGTCTTCTAGGTGGTATGCCCCTTTGCCTGCTAACCCAACTACTTTGTAAGGACCTTCCCAATTAGGCTCTAGCTTGCCATCTCCTAGTACCTGGGTGTTTCCTATCACTTTGCGCAGTACCCAATCTTCGATCTTGAATTGTCTTGGATGCACCGTTTTGTTGTATTTTCTGAATAACTCTTGTTGGTATGAGGCAATGTGAACCAGTGCTCTTTCTCTTCTTTCTTCCGCAAGGTCAAGCTCCAATGCTATGGCTTCTCCATTCAAGTCTGGATCAAAATTTTCACTTCGAATTGTGGGGAGGCCAACTTCTAGTGGGATTACTGCTTCCATACCGTAGGCTAAGGAGAATGGTGTTTCTCCTGTTGACCGCCGAAGTGTGGTGCGGTAAGCCCATAAAACATGAGGAAGCTCTTCCGCCCATTTGCCTTTGGCTTTCTCCAACCTTTTCTTCAACCCATCCAAGACTACCTTGTTTGAAGCTTCTGCCTGTCCATTTGCTTGGGGATATGCCGGTGTAGAATTATAGAACTCTATCTTGTACTCTTCACAAAAGCTTCTAAAGATTTTACCATCAAACTGGGTGCCGTTGTCTGATATGAAGGTTTTAGGTATGCCGAATCGAGTAATGATATTTTGCCAGACGAACTTCTTCACATCTTTTTCCTTGACTGATGCCAATGCTTCTGCTTCTACCCACTTTGTGAAGTAGTCTGTTGCTGCGAGAAAGAACTTCCTATTGCCGGGTGCTGTTGGAAGTGGTCCTACTATGTCCAAGCCCCACATTACGAAAGGCCATGGGCTAGTCAATGGTAGGAGTTCTCTAGCTGGTTGATGTATTTGGTGTGCGAATTTTTGGCATTTCTCGCACTTCTTCACATATTTCTCTGAGTCTGCCTGCATGTATGGCCACCAGTATCCTTGCGAAATGGCCCTGTAAGCTAGCGATCTTCCTCCTTGATGGCTTCCGCACACCCCTTCGTGTATCTCGTACAAGAATGCTTCCACTTTGCTGGGGTGGACACACTTTAGATAGGGTCC